GCCCACGCGCCCCAGCGCCCGCCCCGCGCCCGCCTCGCTCTGCCCGCACTGCGGGGAGCGGCGTTCCCACGGGCGCCACCCGCGGCACGCTCGGTGCGCGACGCTCTGTTTGGCCAGTTCACGCGCTTCGCAGACTGTGTCACTGAAAAACTCGGAATGTCAGGAAATGGAGACCGCGGGTGAAGAGAGATGGCCGGATGGTTCCAACTCCTCGCCGAGAAGCGGTCCGACGCGGTGGGGCCCGCTCGCAGGAATCTGCCCTCGCCTCCGGGAAACAGTCCCCCTGGCGAGTGGCCTCTACCGCGAAGGCCAGACGCGCGACGAGCGCCAACGCCGGCACCGCTCAGCCCGGAGACTCCCGCGCGCTGCACGTGGAGAGTCCTGCGGAAAAGCAGAGATGACAAAGCACTGACGTACGGACTTCTGAGTGTGAAAAACAAGCACGTGTCTGCTCAGCAGAAGCGAAGTTCACGCTCAAGGTCACGTTCCTCGCTCCACCGCTCAACGCCGAGCCCTAATCTGGGCCGTGCCTGGGTGGTAAGACCGTCGTTTAGGTGGAAACTCTCCTGGGCTCCTCAGCGCGTAGTTATTGTCTTTAAAATGCCCGGCATCCCTCACTAGCATGACACCCGGTTTCTGCAGGCGTGCTGTTCAGTAAGGCTGGCTAGGACGGGACGCCAGCCAGTGGCATCTACTGAGAGCTTTTGTGCCGAGGGACTGTGAAGAGACCGACGGAGACAGCCCCACACAGAAGAGAAGCAACGCCAGGACGCTTCCCGAAGAGCGGCAGAGCGACCACAAGCCCAGGGTAACACACGTGCTCGGACGTGTCATACAGAAATGCGGGGCTCAGCTGGAATCCGAGGTCCAGACGGGGGCAGCTGCCGAGAAGGCGCAGGTCAGGAACACAGGCTCGCCGTGGGCAGCTCTGCGGGCAGCCTGCGTGGTTTAAACACGGATCCGTGGGCGCGGAAACATGACTTTAAAATAACACCCCCAAATTAGGCTCAGAGACCTGTAATTTCGCCCCCAAAACCTAGAAGTGAGAACTACATATTTTTTCTTAATGTATTGTTAAGAAAAACCATGCTGCTTCTGTTGAACTGTGTGTAAGAAACCTAAAATCAGTTTGTGTGATTCTGCACAGTTAACTGACATTTGGTTTGAGGACAATTTACCTTTTAACGTGTTGTACTTGATAGGGAAAAGACAAAATGTATAAGTGCTTGGATTCAAGCATTTATGCTTGGCTTCACAGTCTTGGTGGAAATGGTTTGAGTGGTAAATTAGTGATATTTGACATTCTCAAGCAACCAAAATATACAATAAATCAATGTATAAATACCACTGTGCTAAATCACAGATTTGTGTGGAGGTGAGGGGGCATCCTTCATCGTGGCTTCTTGAACACAGGCCAAAGCACCAGGGTGGTGGGAACCTGGAGTGAATCCCAGGTCAGGATACGAGAAACTCTGTTCATTTATAATTCACAGACTGGGGCAGAAATCTTCCTATGGATTGATTGAATTGTGTCCCCAAAGTTCATATATTAGAAGCTTAATTCCCAGTGTAACTGTTGAGGGGGGAAATCCTATTATGGTAATTAGGAGGTGTGGCCTTGAAGAGATGATTAGGTTGTAGGACCATGCCATGGTGAATGGATTAATAATGCTGGTCATGGGCGTGGTTCTTAGGGCTTTAAAAGAAAAGCACAGGGGAAGTTAGTCTCTTTCTGCTTCCACCCTCTTGCAATGTGAGACCCCTGGGTCACTGTTGCCATTACCAGATGTGTTCCTTGGACTTTGGACTTCCCAGCCTCAGAAACTGTAAACAATAAATTTTATTTTCTTTATAAATCACCCGGTTCCCGGTATTTTGTTATAAGCAACAGAAATGGACTAATACAAATCTTCAAACACTATTGTCTGTAGGGATAGTCTGGGGAACTTATTAAAAAAGCAGA